TAAGGTCTTTATTTGAATGGTCCAATGTGCTGAATTGTCCAATAGTAAATTCTCCCTATTTTTAAAATACTGTTATGACTTAAAATTTAAATATGAAGTCATGATATAAAATATAGAGTTGATAGTTTATAGAATAGTTATAATTCAGATTTTGAAGTATATAATTACATCATTGATGTGGTTGAATTAAGTGAGTTGAAAACAAGTTGGTTTTTGAATTAAGTGATTTAAACTAAATGTAACAATACTTAGGTGATTAAATAGTGTAGTTTATTTAGTCGAATATTCAATTAGTATTAAGAAAACAAAAAGAACTTACTTATTCTCGTATTCTCCTAATCTCCTAAAACTATCATCAACCATCAGATTCACAGAACTTCATCATAGGAAAGTACATTAAATATAAAGGTGTCTACATCTAAAACCCGTCTCGGCGTTTTGGGCTTTAATAAAAAATACACTACACTAAACTCTCTCTTAAAGGCACCTCTCTTCACAGGACACCTCTATACGGACAGTTTTTAAAACTAAAATCAGTCGGCGATATATGAAACTGTATATAAATGTTCGTTACTTTTTAATATCTGTAACGACTCGGTACTTCAACTACCAACAGCCGGTATGTTATACCCGTTACTTTCGGAACTTTAGGTGTACATCCACTCAAATCAAACAAATATTTAAAACTAACAAAGTGAAATTATAGATCCTTTTTCTGGTTTCCAAACCATTGTTCTGCCAATTTCTTTACATTTATATTAAAAGTATATATTTTTTATTACAGTTGTAGTAGGTACCTAATAAAGTAATAAAAAGTGTAATATCAAAGAAACCTGGCACGCCTCTTTGGTGTTTACATTTCACAGAAACCCAACCCAAATGTCTTATGAACACATTTTGGCTTCATAGAACTCATTGTATTTATTTGTAGGACCGTTCGCGTAAAATTTTTTGTTATTTTCGGATTAAATTTTACAATAAATTTTGCGTCTATCTGAACATATATTAACTGAAATAATTTTAGTGTAAGTGTCAAATTAACAGTAAATCCATTTTATTGGAATACTGTTTAGACCAATTTACTATCATACTTCTACTTGCACAGTAAAATATTCGTTGTCGTAATAATCCAAAAAAGTCGTATATTCGTGGAATAACCATAACAACTTTATTTTATGTAAAATCTATCTATTATTTATATAATCTTTATAAAATGCAAAATAATATCAAAATTTAGACCTTAATAATTACTACAAATTTATGAATTAATCGTATTAACATCAGTTGTTCGTTGTTTGTTTGTTTATTTTACTATTTATCTGTCATAATAAATATAATTTGTATATTATTATTATTATATTTTTTTAGTTTTTTCGAGTTTTTTTTTTTTACAGACCAGCTGTACAGATACAGTATTCGTTACTATAGTAAAATGTGCTAGTATTTCTGTCTCAGATAGATTTGAAGACAGATCTTTTATACACTCTGCCAACCTACGAAACTGCAAATGTTGTATATATTTTTTTTATTGAGTTTAATGCGTAAACAACTAATGGTCATTGGCATGGTACAGTGAATTTTTACAGTCAGGTATCTAGTGTAGTGTGTGTGTAGGTGTAGAGTAATTGTCTTGATACTTAGCAAAGTCGACGTCATTTCTTTGCTATAGAGACGCTAATTGTATCCGAACGTCTGCGGTCCCTCCGGTGAGTACCGATCGCACAAGGATAGAAATTATTTTCATCCATTAATTTTTAATAAAACGAAAATTTCTCCACCCAGATGAGATTCGAATTCACGACCTTTACGTTCAAAGGTAGGCGCTCTTACCACTGAGCCACAAAGGGGGTTAGATTTTGTATTAAAAATAATTTAAAACATAGATTTCTTACTGTTGTTTTTTGTTTTGTTTTTTAAGTACATAAAAGTATTAAAAGAAAAATGCAGAATGTATGTACGAAAAACAAAGGTTTTATTGAATTTATTTCATAAATTAGAAGTATACACAGCGCACAGCGCAGAAGTGCGCACAAACAGCATTGAATAAAAAAATGAAAATCAAACGTAATGATAATTTAGTAACACGTATTGCTTCCTCTAGCTCTTATAACATCTAGACAACGCTGTGGCATACTTTCAATTAATCTTCTTAGAGTATCTTGATCGATATTGTCCCATTCTACGGTTAACGACCGTTGCAGGTTTTGAAGATTACCAGATCTCACCCTTTTGTAAAGATGGTCCCAAACATGTTCTATCGGATTTAAGTCCGGACTGTGCGCTGGCCAATTCAAAACTTTTAAATTTACCTCTTGAAGGTACTTGGTAACGATTCTTGCGACGTGTGAGCGTGCATTGTCATGCATTAAAACAAATTCATTACCAATAAATGAGGCGTAAAGAACCACATTTTTTTTAATCTCGATTTATGCATTAATGTATTCGCATGCCGAGCGGGTTGGCGAGTTTAGATTTCTGGATCCATTCTGGATCAGACGCTGCTTGATTTTATAGCAGCCCTAAAATCACAGGATTGCCACTTCCGCCGTCCACACCGAACCGAAGGTTTGCTTCTCCGCCGTGTCTGCCGTTGTGGTCTTCATCCGTAACCCTGGACAAGGGATCCTAAACAGGTGCTAGTTTCCGGGTAAGGAAACCCTGGAATATGCGGAGGGCAGGGAACGATTCCTCTTCCCTGATAGGACTGTTCGAAGAGTTCCTACCCGCTACAACCACATTTAAGAGTAACTCAACGGGCCATGTTAAATATAAGCTTAGACAAAATTCCTAACACCGAAATACGTCGAAGAACTAAAGTAACCGACATCATGGGAAAAATAGCGACATTGAGATGGTAATGGGTAGCACATGTAGCAAGACAACACACCAACAGATCTCATAACGTGACATTCTGGAGACCTCGAGAAACAAAAAGAAGCGTAGGAAGACCCAAAAAGAGATTGATAGACGATATAACAGCTGTAGCTGGAAAACAGTGGATGAGAATTGCAAAAGATAGGGAAGCGTGGAAGCAACTGGAGGAGGCTTATGTCCAACAATGGATAAATAAAGGCTGAAGAAAAGAAGAGAAAGAACCAAATGCATCTCCAAAATGTCTCTAATGTACCTATCAGCAGTTAAGGATCCTATATCTAACTGTACCAATTCGATTTGACCCTTAAGAGATATTCTGCCCCCGAGCATAATAGATCCTCCTCCAAAGTTTGTCGCCGGTCTTAGCTTGCATTGAAAATAACGCTCTTCATCTCGTCTATAAACTGGTATTCTTGGATCCGAAGTGTATAAACAAAATCTTGACTCATCCGTAAAGAGTATGTTACCCTCAGTCGTCGATATTCCAGTTTACGTGCTCTCTTGCAAATGTTAAACGTGCTATACGGTGTTCACTTGTAAGTCTCGGGGCAGTGGCAGCTACTCTGGCTCTAATTCCAGACTGTCTTAAGATGTGCCTAACAGTTTCTGAAGACACACGTACATTTCGAGGCTAAGTCATGTTGAAGTTGACATGACTTCGACGCAAAGCCTGAAGGACTAAAAATCTATTGTCCACATGCGTAGTTGCTCTTGGCCGACCTGTTACAGCTCACACGTTGATGTTCGCATTGGTCCTCATGTTCACCAATCTTTACAACATCATAACGATCGTTATCTTTCACCTTTACAATCTCGTAAGGACCTAAGAACTTATCTTGAGTTAAGTCCTGGGTCGAACTGGGTTCTTTTTATTGAAACTAAATCTCGTCTTTCATAAAGACCAGTCTCTCGCTACCTTACTACCACTCGTGATGTCGACTGATTTACACCCACAAAATTGGGCACATATCTCTGACTCCTTCCGTCTTCAATGAGGGAAATTATTCTAACCACTTGATCTCTCGTTAAATTTAAATTTATATTGTCACGACCTTCCATACTCAATATTTAATACGAAATTTTAAATTAAATGCAAACTGTATACTTTTTACAAAAGTAAAAAAAAGACTGATAATATAAAAACCAGACAAAATAGCAATTAACATTTTTTTTTCTTAAACAGTAAGTTGTATTTACAAATTTCCTTTTAATATTTTTCTAGCCTTAATATTTTTACCCAGATTACCCAATTACCCAGAAAGAAATAATTTAAATTAACCAAATGCTGTCAGAAATATTTGTAATTTATAAAGGTGATACGATACTTTTTTGGCGGAGTGATATTATAATTTAATAATTTCCGTGGATATCCTAAAACTATTGAAAACATCTACCAGAAGAACAGGTTAGAAGTCAGAACAGGTAGACAACTTACGAAGCCTAAAGACACAGACAACTGAGTTAGACAGGAGGAATCACTAGGCCCTTTGCTCGTCAATTTAATTAGTTATAATTTAAAAATACTCGTAGACCACATAACATTGATATCTCAAGATTAAAATAGTCTACAAAAACTGATCTAGACAACACAGGAGTATTGTGTGTACAACGGGCTCAACAAAGGCGATTGTAATCGACGGAGATGAAAAAATACTGAGAATAATTCAGTAAAGACGTTAAGAGACTGAAAGAAGAGTCAATATCTAAGAAGAAAATGCAATTTACAAAGTATAAATGTACTGAACAGAAAAAATAATGTATCGGTCTATCGCGCAGAACTGAAGTGACAACATTCCAGGTAGGTATTACTACCCTAATGACCGAACAAAATTGCTTATAAAAAAGAAGAAGAAAAATCGTATTCAGCGAGACTTTAATATTATATACCTACTTGCCAATATATACTCATTTTCATGCAGGTTTTAGAATCTAGATTCAAAGAATGATATTTCTTTTTCTTTCACAAATTATATTGACACCTATTAATTAAAAAACAAATTAATATTCATAAGTAACAGTGTTTCAGCAAAATAAACCCCCTTCGGCATTCCAGGAAGTCCAAATCCCTCTCGGAATGATACCGATATATTTGAAGCTGTCAAGAAAGATTCCTAACCTATAATTACCTACCTGAGTTCATGTTGGGAACCCCGAAAGGTGCGGCGCCTTGGAACATGGGCCCCGGTCCTCCGAACGGGTTCACCAGTCCTTGATGGGACCAGTTAGGATGCGCGGCCTGGTACACGGCTGCCGCAAGAGCCGAAAAAGGCGTCGGCCGGATGGGACCTTGGCTCAGTAGCGAATCTTTGGAAAAGTCTCTTTCGCGGGTGTCTCTTTGAGAGAGATAATCGCTCTCTTTCGACGGAGAGTCTTCTGTTTTGCTCTCTGCGTTTAGATCTTCAACGTCCACTATGGAGTCTTCTTGGTTGGAGTCGTATTCATCGTCGGAAGAGTGATGCGTCGGGCTGGATGACGGGATGGTGGAGGAATTAGGCGACACTGACTTGGAGGGCCTCGTGTCGGCCAAGAGGGAAGCTACACTAAAACTAATATGTCCGTTTTTAGCCGACTGAGCATCGTTAGTTGCTTTGTCGCTAATATTTTGCATAGTTTCACCGTTTTTAGCGTCTAAGGTATCCAAATTTTGGACAGTCATTATTTGAGCACTGTCGAGAGGGTTTTTTAGCATAAGTCAAACTAGGGAACAAAGGACACCACTGTCACGTAAACATAAGAACCAGAAAAACACGTTATACACTTCATTTAGATATAATATTATATAATAACCGACTTATACCCAAAGGTGTTCAGGTTAAACTGATGAGAGAACTGTTTACAGTTAATATCAGCGATGAGGCGGGGCTTTTAGGGGCGGCACGGTTAGTCCCGCCTAGCGTTTAACTGCGTTATTAAGCAAATCAACCAATCACCGCCGGTTGTCCTTAACTACAAGCCAGCGGCTCAAGCGAATAGTCGACTCTCTCACATTTTCCCCCTACAGCACGAAAGATATTCGTCTGGTTAGCTGTTTGATACCTTTATTTTGTTTCTGTCCGGATTTTTATTACTATAACTGCTACTTAAAGAGCTTACACTTGTTTATAGTCGTTAAAAGAGGTCTTTCGAAATTGTTATATCTTAATTACAGAGGCGAAAGATGGACTTATTCATTTCGGATGGGTTTTTTACGGCCTCCATATTGAATTTGTAACGAGATCGTTATGCCTACTGTTAAAATTATTATTGGTTGTTGCTCAAGAAGATCGTTAAAGACTAGAAATGGGCGCAACATCAGTAAATTGTTTGTTTACTTTGATTTAAAAAGCCTTTTGGAGTTTTTTATGGTTTCTGGGTGTACAGGTGAAACCTGAAGCAAGTGACGGATAATAATAATAGCGATAATGTATTTATTTGCATAACTAACAAACTCATACTTACCTAATTATTATAAATTACAAAAATATATAATTTAGTCAAACAATTTAGTTTTTTTTATGGTATTCAGAGGTACTGAAACAGTTTTCTTATGACTTGTTTAAATATTGTATTTCTATGACAGCAAACCACAATTGATTGAGCATAGACTTTCGTCATTTAACTAATTTTAATAAATATATATTTTCCGCAAATCGCCAGGAAATTTTGACATTCCTGTCAAAATTTCTTGAAGAAAAAGTCAGGACTTCCTTACTGTAAGGAAATGTCATTTCCTTACTGTAAGGAAATGATATTTCAGTACAGTTGTTAGTGTTCTACATAAATGATAGAAAACACATTGCTTATAAGGAATTAATTTATATTTTGAAAACACCAAGTCATTGCTGAATACATTTTTAAGATCAATTTGATATACTTATTTACAGTAATTTGACAGTTAGTACAATTATTGAACATTGGAGGAACACTCTTAGAACTATGAGAAACATTTTGGACAACATGCAGGGTGGAAGTGTCATTTTGTTGAATATTTTGTACCGTGAAAATTTTATTTGCCACCTCAACCTTATTGTTAAGCGATTCTTAGATATATCCTTCAGCAACCTTTGATGACTTCCATCCGCCATGCCTCTTTAAACTAGTTATGTCGGCACCAGAGTAAACCAATATTGTTGCAGAAGACCGACGAAAGCAGTGACCAGTATATTCTGTCGGATTTACCAAGTTCAAATAAGTAGCAATTATTTTGGGCATTTTTCTAAATTGATGAATTCCTACCACTTGTCTACAACCCTTTCCGCTTTGATATTTAAAGAAAAATCGGTCACTGTTCATATTTTCTGGTCTTAACGAAACATACTTTCGATAAACATTCAAGTAGATCTGATTAATTACAAATGATCTTGGTTTGTTGGTTTTCGAATCAGGTATGCTGATTAAAAGCTTAGATTCTAAGTCTTCTATATTGTGTACAGTCATTCGGACTAACTTATCCATTCTACAGGCCCCAGAAATACCAAATATTACAGCCACCTAAAAAATAAATAAAGCTATAATCTAAATAGAAATTAAAACCTTGTAAATAACCTTAATCATTAAATTTTCTTTATCTGGAGCTTCCTGGATAAATTTTTCAATTTCTTCCTTCGTTAAAATCTTAGATTTCTTTGCCCTATAACTTTGAGCTTGCCGTTTCAATAAAGAACGAAGTTTTGAGTATGTAGATATATCTACATTGTGTTTAAGTGCAAGGGTTGACTTCAGCATTGAATAATTGGCCCATAATGTTGAAGATTTCATCTTTAAACAAAGGTCTAGAAAGTATGCCATTACAACATTTTCTGATAAAGAACTCGTATTTTTACTCATGCGATAATCCATAAAACGTCTGTATGCATTTTCGTACTTTTCTCTTGATTTCTTTGGCAATAATTCTAATGAAGCAGTATTCACTGCCTCAACCAGCTCTGGAGGAGTCCCAGGAATGGAAATTTCATCATCACTTATCATTTTACTTTCGAGAACACCAGCAATTAAATTTATAAGCGTTTGACAATTCAACCTCAATACGTTTCCATAGTAACCCAAGTAATTTTATTAGGAATTTCAAAGCACCATTTATTTGGGAATAAAATTATCGCGTTTTTTTTTAAATCAATCAATATCTGTCGAATTTTAAACGATTTGCGGAAAAATAGTATGTTTACCTCGTAGGAAAAGCCACATTCCTGGACTCTGTGTTGCTAAGTCTCGGCTTGCGCCTCGACTTAGCAATCTTCACAGTCGTCCAGGAATGTTAAGCTTTTTCTACCCGGTAAACAATGTACTATTGTTTCGTTAGAAAAATACACAATGATAGATATATAGATATGTTTATTGACAATACTTTTTGTTGCATAGTAAAAACTACATAATATCATGTCACAATACAGATAAAACAGTCATTTTTAGAGACACACAAAATTAGGAGAAAGAAATAACATAATAATACATTTTGTAAATGTATACCTACAAAAAATACATTTATTAGAAATAATACTTTTAATAAAAAGGGCTAGACTGGGCGCTCAACGATAAAAAATCCTGTATACTATTGTTTCAGTGTTACCAGTGTGTCAACAAGAAATTTTTTGGAAATTTATAAACTTGTTAAGAATGTAATGCTTTTTTACGAATAGTTTCAAATATATGTATATTACGCACTACAAATAGAAATGATCTTATAATATAAAAAAACAACTAACAGTGTTCATACTTAAAAAAACAATTTATACGTTTTTTAGATGTTATAAAAAATCTACATTAACTAGTGTTGACCAAAATCGGTCTTGGTCTTGCAGTCTTGGTCTTGTTCTTGCGTTTTCGCAAGACCAAGACCAAGACTGACCTTGCAAGACTTAAGCAAGAACAAGACTAAACCTGCGAGACTCTTGCGTCTTGCAGTTAGAACTAAGTGTCGTTTTAACGAGTATAGTAGTTCGGGTATATGCAAAGACTCTATGAGATGCAAAAAAATATTTAATAAAATTTGAAAAACAAAATATTCATTAAAAGAACATTTGACACGTGTTCAGACATAATTACAAAGTAAAAATAAAATATTTTGTACATTCTTTCCCAGCAGACGACTTCTTCGCTCTGAAATTAATTGTAAAGATTTTGAGAATATCTGCTCACTAATCATAAAATAATCTTCTTGTATTGCAATGCCGACAGTAATATCATATCGACACATTTTAAAAATATGTCACCTTAGCTAATAAAAAATATAATACATACTGTTAAGGATACCCACTTAATAATTCAATTTTTTCCCATTATAATTTAGTTAAGAGGAATCTAAATAAACAAATCTTATCGGCCTCTAAACATCGTTTCTGCTGAGTGTGCGATGAGATAATTCGGTTAAACAAAATATGCTGCAGTCGTCTACCATGTAAGCAAAATACCGAAATATTTAAAATAACGAATATATTATAATATTATATATATTCTATATATATATAATTTGATATATTATAATTCTCATTGTATTATATTGGTTTGGTATTCAGTACTCAACGAACATTAAGTAACTAATAGTAGTAGTTACTTTTTCGACATCCTTGTTTCCGGAGTGACAAGTTTAGAGTTTGACATGAGAGACGAAGATTCAAGTCGGAGTAGTGAGAGTTGGAGTTATAGATCTAGAAGACCTAAACGCAAATTTGATGAGTTTTTCGAAATAATTCATGCATCCTAAATTGCTTTGTGTAAATTGTGCCTACATATAAAGGTTAAAAAAAAAATAAAAAACAAAAACAGGTCAGGTTTAAGGAAGCATCTAATATCTTTTCACAAAAAGGAATTACATATATTTCTTTCCTGAAAAACCAAAATTTGGTGGAAATATCACAAGCTTTTTAATAATCACTGGAGAAAGTGGACATGCAAAAAAATATACTTATTACCTTATTACCAATTACATAATGTTATGAACCTACTACTTTATTTTGGTAAATTAATGTATTCATTAAGTAGGTATCTCCTTAATTTAAAATAACATCTTTTGATTATCATTGCTTTTTTATCTATTCTTTATTTTTTCAAGTTAGTTTTTTATATGAAAGTAGAGCTAAGATTATTAACAACATCTATTTTGCTTTAATAAGTGGATTATAGTTTGTTATCTTATTACTTAAAGAATTTGTGCCCTTGATATTTTATGTATGTGGATTTTTTGCCACATACCAATCTTTTTTAAGATTTTCATTTCATATATGGCGGGGATCCATCATTTCCTTTCTAAGCAGATAATGTTCTTTAAAATACAGTCAAGTTTATGTCATTAATTTGGTTTTTTGTATTTTAACCATGTTTCAGCATGGTTCCCACCCAATGCTATCAAAGCCCCACCCCACCCGGTGCCAGTTGTTTAGACCTTTACTAATTTGGATGGACACCCGGTGTCAATTGTTTAGACATTTATTAATTTGGATGGTCCTTATTATTGCTATGTTAATTCAAGCTTAAAATTTACTTACTCTGTTACATTGTGCTAAGATCTAAAGGAACGTTTAATAAATAGCAATAGGCTAATGGGTAACTGCAAAACTTGCAAGACTCTTGCTGCAAGAAAAAGACCAAGACTAAGACCGGGAGTGCAATACCAAGAGCAAGACCAAGACCAGGTATATTGGCGCAAGACCAAGACCAAGACTCTTTGTCTCGTCTTGTTCT